TTTGGACTTTGGAAGTGGAAGCTGAGGCCTGGGGAGAGGCTGGGTAAAGAATGCTGGGGCAATCCCAGACAGTAGGCAGATACTCGGCATGAATGCGAAATGACTTTCCTGGAGCTGGAGGATGAGGCAGCAGGGATTAGGCCACAGCTTCAGATCCTGACCTTTTTTTCTTCCTAGGAAAGCATACATAACTTGTGTCTCTGCGGAATCAGTGTGGCATGATTTTGCTGGCCCAAGGCATCAGCGAGAGGGAGAAGAGGGGTTGCTACAGCCCTCCTGCGGGTAAAACCGGCTCTCTTAGAAACCTGCTTCGATGCAGTGGGGTGGGGGCAAGCGTGGTAGCAAAGAGGTTGAGAAACCTCCCTGGGATTGGGGAGTGAGAGCTTCCGTGTTCCCTTAATGTCCTAGGCTAATTCATAAGGCATCTAAGTCCTGGGTCTCACCCAACCTCAGAGAGAGAAAGCCTGACCCTGATGGTGTCCCCATCCCCTCAAAGATAGAGATTGAGCCAGGAACTGCCCTCACATCCTCTGCTCTGCCCCTTCCCTTCCCTCTCCTCTGCCCCTCCCACCTACAGCTGTTTGGGGCGCTTTCTCAGAGCCCTGGGTGGTGGCAGGCACGGAGGAGTCCCAAGTACTGATCCTGGTGGCCCAGAGCCCCATGCTGTGGTTGCCAGATTTGGCAAATAAAAATACAGGATGGCCAGTTACATTTGCATTTCAGATAACGAACAATTTTTAAGTACAAGTATGTCCTAGGCAATAGTTGGGGCATATTATTCTAAAATATAATTGGTTGTTTATCTGAAATTCAACTGGTCATCCTGCATTGTGTCTGGGGATGCTACCCTATGACTTTTCCCCTCTCCCTTTGGTCCCAGGGGGCCAGGGACCCCAAGGATTTGACTTAACCAGTTTTTTGAACTGCAATATTGAGAAGGGGACACTGTGACTTGAAGACACATGAATTTATTTTTTAAGCGACAACAAGAACCTTCTGAAGCCATTTGAGCCTATCTGCCCCCTCCATCGTATTTAATTACATATAAAAGAAGATAATTACCTAGAAACATATGAAGAGAATCTTGTTTAATCAAGATGCATGTCTACAACTTTCTGTAAATAGCCGCATGGCAATGCTGAGAGTCCCCTTGATCCCCCAACTGCAAACCTGTTTTACAGAACTGGTTGAGGCTGTTTCTTTGATTTTATGTCGTGTAAAGTCTTTGTCCCCCAACCCCACCCATGTCTCCTCCCATTGGGAAACCCCCCATGGGAGCCATCAGCAGGCAGGAGTCGGTGCCAGCTCCGGTCCAGCTCTGCTGCGGGAGACGCTGGAGGACCCTGTCGCCCTGAAGGCCTGTTTGCTGCACATCTGTCTGCAGAGCCAACCTCGGGGTCCGGTGCAGTGTCCAGCCTGGTATCTGGCATCCCAGTAGCTTCCGTGTCTGTGTGTGTGCGGTGTGCCCCTTCCTCCCACTGTCTGAATTCACTGAAAAGCCATAAAGGGGGTCTCCTGCTGGAGACTGGGCCTCCCTAGGCTCCTCCCAGGAGCCCCCATGTCCCTCTGACTGGCTCCCCACAGAACACTTGTGAAGGGCTCACCTGTTGTCGCCCCCTCCTGCTCCCTCAGCCCTGTGTCATGAGAATGGACAGTGTCTAGGGCTTCCAGTGGGGCCTTAGGAGATGCCCATGCCGGCCCCGCCCGAGCTGGCTTCCTTGGCTTGGGTTCACAGTTCAGCTCCATCTCTACTCTGGGTGAGGCAGCAGTGGGACTCCCTGGTTCTGGATACCTTTCCTGGGGCCCCTGTGGAGGTAACCAGGACTTTCAGGAGCAGCCAGTCAGGGGCCCAGCCAGGGGTGACAGAACCATTCCTGCTTACTCACCTCTGTGGTTTCAGGGTCCATGGGTGGTGATGGAGGAGGGACTCAGGGAGAAACTGGTGAACACAGGGGCTGATGCTCTGCCCTCGCACGTCCTCCTGCAGTCCGACAGAAGCAGCCCAATAGCAGGGCGACCTCAGGGCTACCAGGGCTCCTCTGAGAGTGGAGTAGGCAGGTTCAGCTGTGAGGGAGGGTCAGAGGCTTGGGCAGAGCAGGTGTGAACTCAGCCCCCTGACCACACCTGCTCCCCAGAGCAGCCCCAGCCAGTTGCACCAGGTAGCAGAGAAGTGAATAGAGAGGCCTGAGGCTTCTGAGGCCCCAGGTCATCCTGTTAAACTGAGAGGGATAGGTAGCCCCACTGCCTGCAGCCCCTGGCCCCACGAGTGCCTGAGGGCAGTAATGCATAGGAAGAGCCCAGGACGCCTTAGGCCTGGCAACTGTGATGAATATGAGGAAGGAGAGAGAGAACAGGAGGGGAATCAGGTAGGGCGCATTCGATGAGGCCAGAAGTGGCAAGGCGGGCTTGCTCTTCACAAACCACGACTTGTGAGTACACAGCAGTCCCAGGGACCTTTGTGCTGGGACATGAAAGAGTGGGGAAGGTGGAGCGGGCCGTTTCAGAGCAGGCTGGAATCGGGTGCTTGGATGAGTAAAGACATGTCTTGCTTCCTCCAGCTCTCTCTGGGGCCCTCCTACTCTCCACACCCACAGCAGAGACAGAAATGGAGGAAAAAGTTGAGAGAGTGTCTGTATGGCGAGGTGATGGGAGCAGTGTGCGTGGGGTGCCAAGAGTTCCTCCATCCCACCTGCCTTAGAGATCAGGACTTTAGGGGGGCCTCTTCAGAGATGCTGACCCTTCCGTCCTGACTACTGCCCATCGAAGGACTTGATCTGCTGCTTTCTGAAAACCTTAGGGCTGGAAATTTCAAAACCAGGGCCTGGCAGAGCCTACCTTCACCCAGGTCACCCCACCAGGAGTCCTGCCTTTGTCTCCATGGGAAGGACACATGTACAGTCCACACCACCCCCGCTTCCCCACCTCTGCTTGGCAATGCTCTCCATCCCCCTTGTGTGGACTCTGTTGTTCTTGTCTGATCTCTTGTCAAATTGTTATTTTGTAATGAGCTGCGCCTCCTTATTAAAGAAATGAGCTGAAAGAAACCTGGGGGTGGGGGGTGTCTCTGGTTGTTTTTGCTGTGCTGAGGTGGGGGTGAGGGAGTGGGAGCTGCCTGTGAGGGTCAGTATGGTGGGTGAGGGTGATGAGATGGTCCTGAGGCTCTGGCCTCTAGCCAGAATCTCCCTTCAGGGAAGCAGCAAAAGGGGCTGAGGTGCCCCTCTCCCGGAAGTGGATGAAGACCAGACTGTCACTCTGGTGGTTGCTGGGGCCCACACATCTGACTGAAGACACTTGCCAGGCCTGTGGAATTGTGGGGAGCGTGGCAGTGCCGAGGAACATTGTCTAAGAAGCTGGGTGGGGCAGTGTGCTGGTGGGGACTATACTCTTGAATTCCCTTAGGGAACAGCCACAGTCTGAGCCCAGTGACAAGAGGGAGGCTGGCTCTGGGAAATGGGAGTTTGAAAAGAATTTCTACGAAGTCCTCAATTGTCTCTTTGCAACGAACTTGAAATGTCTTTAACTTCTGAAGCAAAGATGTTAGGGACCAGGGATAAGGCTTCAGAATTTTTAGGGAAAGGGAAGAAAACACTTCCCCAAACACCAGGGAAGAGTAAAACTCCTTCAGTTCCCACTTCCGTCTGTCTCTCCTCCTTGAGGACACACCAGCAGCTACCATTTTGTCAGTTTCCACCAGCACTTGTCCTCCAGGAACATCATTGGCTAACTTGTGCTTGCCCATCAGGTTCAACAGCATGAGAGGTAGTGAAGGCAAGCCAGGGACAGGAGCTGCCCCCCCGGGGAGCGTGAGCCCAGATCCTTTACCATCTATCTTGTCTTGTTGCTTCAGTCCCTGGGGCTGGGTAGGATGGGTGGCCTGGGTTGGGTGAGAGAAATAAGCCTTTCAGCAGGACTGGGATTTATCACCTGAGGGTCTCCTGGCTAAGAAGGTGAGCTTTTGCTCTGCTAATGCGGAGGCTGTGGCCTTCTCCTTTGCCCCCAAGAGGGCTGGACCACATGATGGCTAGGTGATACTGTCTCTGCAGACCTTACCACAACCAGCGGGGGAAGGAAAAAGAAATATTTGCAGTCTAGGAATCCTTTGCATCGGTCATGCTTCTTTGCCTCTGTTTTGGGCCCCAGGACAGGACTGAATTCTTCAACCATGACATCAAGTATGTTCTGCTGCTGCTTGGGCTACAAAGAGCTGGGTGACAGCAGAGGAAAAGAATCTTCCCTCCCTGACCTCTCCCCAAGTCAGTGACCAGGGATTTCCGCTTGGCAGAAAACACAGGGCTGAGCAAAGCCAGAGGCAGGGCTTGCTGGAGAAACCAGACCCGAATCCTGGCTGCCTAGGGTCAGACTTGGCCACCCACGTACAAACCCTGCCAGTGAGCCTGAACAGCTCCTCTCTGGGTATGGCTCCTTCATTTTGAGTTTGGACTTAACCTTCAATAACTCCCAAATAACTTCTGTAGTTTGGAGCTACAGAATAGTTTTGGATCTCCCGAAATAAACAGTGACCTCACGAGGACTGTTTTATGTACATAACAGATGACTAAGGGTGATGCCAGGAGACTTCCATGAGCCCAAGGAAATCACCACCTCCCTAGACCAACTTTCCCATGTACTACAGTGTGCTAGTGTTCACCTGGACGGGCTCCACACCCTTGTCACTTGGCCCTGCTGTCTTCCAAGAAATAACCTAGTTACTTGAAGATTGAAACCTTCTCCTTATCTTCATATGCTTCTTTTGAACTCCAATCTATGCTTCTCCTTGGCCTGACTCCATTTAGGAAATTCCTTGATGCTACCAGAGATCCTCATCTCAGTGGCCACAACTCACTTGTGGCTGTCCCTGGGGAAGGGGCCTCTGTGGACAGGAGCTGCAGGAGGCTGGTGGGTGAGGCCCTCACCAATGGTAAAGAGGATATAAAATCAGAAGAGGCTGCCCTAGATGTGAAAGTCTATAACTTCCATGCCCTGAACTGTGGAGACAGTCACAAAGTTAAAACACAATTTTATTTACTCATTTATAAATACTGTTGTGTTTACAGGCATCATATAGATGTGAATATTATTCCCGAACTTTCAAACAAACACGGAATACTCAATAGTATATAATAACAACCAGGAAAACAAAATCGTCTTAGGGTTGAAAGGCCACTCAAAATTGCATAAAAATACATTCAGTTCACAAAGCAAGTCTGGCTTCCTCTTCCTAAACACCCCAATCCCACCCCATCCCAGGTGTATTTACAGTGGACTGAAGTTAATCAATCATACAACTCAGCTGAAAAAGTTACACCATCTGATGTGTTAACCTTGGTGGAAATCAGGTGAGGGGTGGAGGAAAGACACAAAATGCTACCACTAAAAGGGGGGAGAGGGGCATGGAGACACCAGGGTGGTTCTTTTCACCCCTGTTGATCAAGGTCAAGGTAAAGACAAGAATGAAATTGAGTGGTTCACACCAAAGTCTGAGCATGAACCACTCAACTGAGCATAGGCTGTATCTTCTCCAAGAAGAATGCAAGGGTGAAACATTTCTTCCTCCTTCAGGGAAATCATTGCCCTGGTGTGCCAGCCAGTGATAGACCCAACCTTTCAAAACTTTAAGGGATGCTGGCTAGAAAAGTAGGTATTCTGCATTGCTGCATCCTCTCAGAACCTCCTCCAACCCCGCAGTCTGCCTCCTGGTGTCTTTTCCTCCAAATTCTCTTTACCTGGCCTCTCTTCATTAGAAGGCAAGTGGGAATCAGTTCCAGGTTCAGTAGAATGGGAGAGAGAACAGGCAAAGGCACAGATACTTAGGCGAGAGTCAAGCTACTTCTGGCCCTAACATGTCCCTTGTTCAGGATCTACATTCTGACTCTTAACTCTGGTTTTGGGAGAACATTAGAGGTTCTTAAGAGGCTCCTTACCATCAGTGTGCCCTTCCTGAATCCTTGGTCTTTGAATGGGCTGAGCTGTTGCCACCAGATGCACTGACAGTTTATGCTGGGAAGATACACTTGTTTTAAACTATAAACAGTCTCAGGACGAAGAGTAAACCAGACATGGCTACCCATGGTCTCCTTGCCCAGGACATGGGGGAGTCATATGGGCCTATAAGTCAAACCTCATCTCTGAGGGGCCGTTAGCATAGCCGGGGAGCTTTGAAACTGGGAGAGGGGGCAGTGATGATGGTTGGTTATATTCAACTTCTCCAGGAATCTGGCTGATGCACGGAAAACCACCTCTAAAGCACCCTTGGCTCCAAGTGAGGAAAACAAGGAATTAAGAATGTGGAGGGGTGCTGTGTATGTTTATTTTGGAAGGACATAAGAGCATCCTGATGTCACCCTAAGGGGCCACCCAAGTAAATCTTTACTGGAAACATCAGGGAAAAATTTGGAGAAGAAATAACAGAAAATATCACTCTGGCAGATTCACAGTCCAAAATGATAAGCAGATGAATTGGGGAATGGTTCAAATAGGTCCTTTGGGGGATTAGAAGGGAGGGGAAAAAACAAAAGATATGATTTAATAGAATAATATACTTGGATACAATTGGTTTCTGAGTTTTCATTTCTAATCAAGTATATGCCAGACCTCATTTTAAAAGCAAACGTGCATGTGAACACACATAAGCAGGAAGCAAGAGTTATCCCTAAATTGCTAAACCTTTTTTGGTAAGGCCAGAACATTCATTAATGGTATTGTCTTTAGACACACCCACCTCTTGCAGTTCTCCACAAGGAGGGCTTCTGGGACACTGGGTTGTAAGCCATACCTGGGTTCCATGTTTGCCCTCAACCCTAACTCTCAAAGGAGAAGTGAATCACCTTTTACCATGCAGCTGCTGGCTGCTGGTCACGATTCTCTGTTTTTTCTCAGCCCTCAGAAATCACCTCATTCCTAGTAGCTGTGACCAACAGTTCCTGGACTACGATGAAGTTGATCTATTTTCCCATCTAATCAGAACACAAAAGATCAATAGCTATCCCTGATAGGGTCTACTGCTTCCCGAGCAGTGTCAATACCCATTAAGGAAGCTGATTAAAATCTCTGCTCAGCTGGAAGCTGAGGGATGAAGTCACCAGTGAGACAGAACTCACCTGTGTGTGCCGAAGCTTTGCTTCTGTGAAATCCTTCCCAGTGCTTGCAGCTTCCACCCTACTCCTTGTCCAAAGCCCCTGGGCCTTCTGCCTTCTTCCCATTGCAGTTTCCAGGGTCTCTGCCCTTTCACTCCAATTATACCCAGTCCTATTGGAAGCCTGCGAAGGCCAAGTGCTGTTCTATGCAATATGGTTGTGTGGACTCTGGGTCTGTAAACACTGCTTTGGTAGTCTCTTCAGACCTGCTTTGAAGGAAAGACCATCTTGAACCTCCTACTTCTGATAGTCCAGAATCCAGAGGAGGAGCTCAGTGGAACTAAAGATTGAGGTTTTTATCGAGGAAAATTATCTTGCTGCTGTAAGGCAGAGTTCAAGACAATGAACCAGATGGCGCTGAGCAGAAAAACTATTAGTCTGCTATTTGGGTGTGAAGACCCACAGTAGATCACATTTTGAGAAAGCTGAGGAGAGGTGGTTGAGGAAACCTATGAAGCAGCAGGTCTATTTCCTATTAAAACAATTTGTCCAAAGGCTGCTTGCAACAAATTGATTTCTATCCATTTCCCCATGAGCTCCAATTTCCACCTCTGCAGGTTTTAATAATCTTACCAAGCCATTAGGAGGGAAAGCCATTGCAACACCATTCAGTTACCCACATTATTAAATTCACTTCCCAACAAGGATGAGAAGTCAGCCTTGATGTGCTCATGTTAAACAGTTTTAAACCCAGAAGAAAGCAAAAATTTTTGCACTTGGATTTTTGAGGTTAGAATTTTTAAAGCAGAAATCCAAAGAAATGTTCTGATCTTTCTAAGAATGAATAAATCACGGAATTCTAAGCCAATAGGAAAGGGCACATAAAAATTATCCAGTCCAACCTCATTTTACAGTGAGGGTGACCTGCCCAAAGTCACATGGCTAAAAGAAGGGATGGCCTTGGAATACAGATGTTCTAAGACCTTATCTTTTTATGTTGCCTTTTTCTGTCCTCAAAGCTGCCTTGCTTATTGGGTCGGGAGAACTCACATCTTATGAGGGGTTAGACCCTGCCTTGAAAATCAATATGATGGGCTGGATGTGGTACCTTGGGTCTGTAATCCTGTCACTTTGGGAGGCCCAGCCAGGTGGATCACTTGAGCCCAGCAGTTCGAGACCAGCCTGGGCAACTGGCAAAACCCTGTCTCTACAAAAAAACACAAAAATGATCTGGGCATGGTGGTGTAGACCTGCGGTCCTAGCTGCTTGAGAGGCTGAGGTGAAAGGATTGCTTGAGCCTGGGAGGCGGAGGTTGCAGTGAGCTGCAGATCACACAATTGCACTCCAGCCCGGGTGACAGAGTACAGTGACTGACATCTGTAGTAATCACTGGGCCTAGATTTAGGCAAATTACACCACCTCTGACTGATAACTCTGTGCTAAAAGTGCAGTGCTGGCATAAACAATGGGGTATGAGGACCCCTGATGATATCTCTGAGGGAAGGACACCAGGGCTCCTGCAGTGTTACCTCACTGATAAGCTCCAGTGGAAAATCTGGTAGAGTTTCCCTTTCCTTTTTGCTTAAATTCTGAATCCGTTATCTTTCTTTTTCCTTTTTGTACCTTTTGAGGTGTCAAAGTCGCCTGGAAGCTGAATAACTGGTGACACTTTAAATAGTTCTCTCTTCTCCAGGCTTCTTCTGCTTACCCCATGCCCACCTCATGAGTGCCAACACGCACCAGTAGCCTGGACTGAAACACTGGCCTTTCTCTGAGAGGAGACAGTGTCTGTCTGTGGCTATGAAAGGCTGCAAAGAGAACAAAAATGCAGACACCTAACAAAGTACATGGCTTTGAGGTTTCCTCTTTCATCATCTTTGGCTCAATGAAATGCCCCTAGTGGAGAAACAATAATTTACATACACTTCTGTGGGATCCACAGACTATTGAGTTTTAGCTTCCTTGCCTCCTGAGTGGAACCATCTAATAAGCACATGGTTTGGGGAAGGGAAATGGGTAAAATGTTGCAAAACACAGATGTGAAATCTCACTAGTGGCCTCAAATAGCAATAAATGAATCTAAGTGTTCTTAAACCTGGGGTGGGAACTAGGACAGAAACCAGGGAAAGCCCAAAGAGAAGCAAACACATCCTGCAGTTGGAAGACACGGAGGTTCTAGGGAACATCAAGTGAGAATGGCCCACTAGAGAATCTAGGGCACTGAGTAAGCCCAAAGCATGTCTATTCTTTAGATTCCTTAGTGGCAACACCCTGAGATTCACATAACCCTTTCACTACAGACTGGGATGGGGCTAGGGGTCATCATACTCTGGAGCTGTCTGGATAAGGGTCAGCAGCCCTGGAAAGACAAACAGATGAACTTTAGCAACAGAATCTCTGGAACGGCCAAATCATTACTTCCAAAGGTGTGACTCAGTTTTTGAAAAATAACAAATTAATGAAAACAGAGGGTGTAAAGCTGTACCAAGAACACTCTTTCCCATTCTGATGCTTCGTGTAAAGACTCTAAGTCATAGGCCTGAGCTCATGTTGTTGGCCAAGTCTGCAGCTAGTCATTCAGCTTGAGCTGCCTGGGGTGCTCATGAGTATCCAAACCAGCAGGTTAGGACTAAGGATTGTGGCCACTGAAGAGGCTGGCGGTAGGTACCTGTCTAAGCAGCACAAGAAAAGGGAGACTGGCTGATGCCAGTATCCAGAGAGAACTGCTGGCTAGTAGAAGGCCTGTAACTACCACCTTATGGGGCTTCCAGACAATACAGCTGTGAAAGAATGGTATTTTATCTCTGGAGACAGACCAGAAATCAGCTCATCTAAAATTAACTGCATAAGGGAAAGTACCTGAAACTGCCCAGGAGAGCTTACATTTTCATGAGTTCTTGGCCATAGAATCCAGTTCCTGAGATTGAAAAGCTTGCAAATTTCTTGTCACAAGGAAAACTTTTTGGCAAGAAAAGTGAGCTTTAACATGAAAGGGCCCTGTGAAGGGGCAGGGGTGCAACACCAATCTAAGAGTTTTGAGAACCTGCCCCCAATACTTTTGAAAGGCACAAACACATCTGAGGGGACTCTTTGTAACCCCTTTCCCTGGGCTATTGAGTGGAAAAGGGTCAAGATGTATTCCTAATAATCCAATTTTCCTAAGAAGTATGATCTTCCTTCCCCAATATTCAAAAATGTGCCAGGATAATTAATTAGTCAACACCCTGTGTTGATTTCCTCTCCCAGAATGAAGGAAATGCTTATAGTGAAAGATATAAAACTTACTACTATAATTTAGCATTCCCTGAGAACTGAACTTACATACAGTACTCCCATGATAATACAAAGTCCCAAGAGAGTAGCAGCTTCTCTTGAAAAATGGTTGGAAATGGAAGACAGAATTTTATATACTCTAAAAATGGGGTTTTGTCAGAGGAAACATATCTCCTGTTCTGGAATTTGGATCTTGAACTACAGCTTCTAGTTTAAAGGCATGTGATGTTTCAGACAGAGGGCCATAGAGAACTACACGTCATGTCAGGAAAGGAATTAACAGACAGAGGCAGTATATGTTACAGAAATGAACCACTCTAAACACTGAATATCACTGGCAACCCTAAAATGTTGAGGATTTAATGACCTGCACACTCAAATGAACCAAGGGATAAAATTCCTACAAAAGGAAAATACTCTAAGTATTAATGCTAGGTTATCATCAAGAACTAATGGTTTAATTTTGCACTGGATTTGTGGAGTATTCTCTCCAGGCCTGGGCATGATATTTTAAAGGCTGATTTTGTCTAGAGGAGGATGTGACAGGTAAGAAAAACATGCCATATGAGGAATGACTTAAAGGACTAGGGTAACAGCAGCTCAAAGTAAGACTGAGGGGAGACCACCCACTGTACGTATCTGAAGGGCTGTTAAAGAGCTGCAGATAGATCTGGACTACAAGGAGAATCCACAGGCAGACTTCAACACATATTAGGAAAAACTCTCTCATTATTAGAGTTGCCCAACTTTTGAGTAATAATTGCATAGCCACCAGAGGCTACCTGACCATGCCCATGGGTTAAAGCTGTGGTAGCAGGGGTCCCTGTGACGGAATAATAGAAAGCTGGACCTACTGACCTCTGGGCCTTGCCACTCTAAACTTCCATGACTCTTGTCAATGGGTTGAAAAGTACTTCATTCCATTAAACCCCTATTAAGTGCCATTTGCCCTATTAATTTCTAAGAAAGTAAATCTCTCCCCTAAATCTAACCACTGGAAATAATCGAATTCACCACTATTCTCACAGCCTAATGGGCTGCTATCATACATCTTCTTTCTCACAATGTTGCAAATGGCCTCAGATACTTGACTTTGCTGTATGTGTCTTTCCAGCCTACTTCCATTTCCTAGTCCATCTCCCAACCATCTCCCCTCCTCACCTCTCATTCCCCCTTGCACTGACTTCATTTCTCATTAGAAGCAGGTGTCAGAGTGAAGAGAGGAAAACAAGGTCAAGGAAGGGCAGCAGAATGGGGTATTCAGAGCCCAGATTTTTTTTTTTTTACAAAGAAAATCACTTTGCAGGGGGAAGATAAGTGGGAGATGAAAACAATGAGCTGACACTTATGCCATGATCTGGCTTTTAGGGAGGGGGCAGTGGTGCTGCCACCAAGGCACCAGAGCGATGATTTTCTTGTCTCCAGAATAATGATTTCCCACAATGGACAAGGACAACTGAAGTCAGGTGCTCTGTCCTAGCTTTTACACCATAGAGTGAGGGGGTGGGGGAGTGAGAAAAAAAATAAAAGGACAGAAAGGAAAGGAATAAATAAAGCCAGGGCCATTTGAGCCTTGGAGAAAGGACTAGATATGAGGGAGGAATAAGGGTTAAAATCAGTCAAGGAGTTACTGGGGTAGAAAAAATACAATTAAGTCAATTCCTGAGAGGTGAAGAAGAATAGAATGCCTCAATGCAGCCACTGTCACCTTGGACTCTTAACAGCTCCAGAGACCATCCAATGATCAACTCAACAACCTGCTGTTTCTCTTGGCACCTCAATCAGGATCCTGGAGTGGCTACCACAAGAATCACCTATATCAGAGGGCACTGAGTCAATGTAAAAAGCTGAAGGATACTGATTTGGGTAGAAGCTTTACATGTTTGGACCAAATCCAATGTGGACAAAGTAGCTGAGCAGCCGGAAGTTGAGGGGTCCACAGCTGAGCCTGGTGTACTCCCCAGAGCACTCTCCAGATGGCTCGAATGATCACGATCATGCTTCAATTAAAACTGTCATAAAACTTGGGATAGGGGTGTTGGAAGAACAGGGCATTGAGAGTGCAGAGAAAATGTAGAGTGTACAGAGGTGACTGAAGAGGGTGTTAGAAGTGTCCTTCCACCAAAACATCCATTTCGTTTGGCTGGAAGGCAAGGACTGGGAAGAGGGGTGGAGGCAGCAAATGCTGTCCTTTTCCTTCCTCCTAATTCTGGAGCCTAGCCTATTTGGACAGTTTGCTGATGACTCTGATGAGGGCACCATTTTCATCTTTCAGCCTCTGGTTGTCGGATTTCAGTTCTGTTAACACCTGTAGGGTGACAGAGGGAAAGGTGAGTTAGAGCCTGCCAGGATCTCCTCCTTTGCCCTCCTTGACCAGACCAGGCCAGCCTGGGAAGCAGGGCCTTCTGAGACATTGTGTCGAATAAACTCTCATGATCCCTTCTCCCAGGGATGACATTCCCTTCAATCTTCCTATTTACTGAGTTGGTAATGTTAATCTTTAGGGAGACTATAGCCCCTCCATCTTTTGAGCTGGCATATTTAGCAGTAATATCTTATTTCTTCAAATGCAGACCTCCCGTTCCACACTGTATATCCTTTCATTCTATTGAGTCAGTAACCACTTTCAATTTCTCCTGCCCTTGAACTCACCCCTAGTCTAAAGAAATTGGGGAGAGAGCCAAAATGGGCTGGTGAGGACATAGGGAAAGAATTCAGAAAGGGGGTGGTGGTCAACTAGAAAAATTAAAGGAGGATACTGCTTCACTTCTCATCAAAAACAAGAATGCAGGGCAGAGAGGCAGCACTCGGCTTTCCTGCTATATGCACAAGATGATTTAAGGGTCCTCCACCTGGTGCCTGTGGTGAATAATCCACCAAATTCTCGCTGGTCATACTACACACATCCACTTTCAGCCATTAAAACTCAGAAAACTTACAGTCACAGAGCTGTGAGGCATCGTGAACACTAGGTATGTATTTAATCCTCCCCAAAGCTCCCCAATGATAGTCACCAAAGGATACCCAGAGGTCTTATCAGCAGTTTTAGGGGATGGCATTGTAATTCACAGAAATAGATGCTTGTAGGGCAGGGGACGGAGTGGAAACTCAATTTTGTCAGTTCTGCCATCTTGGAACATTACACATAATGTTCTTCTTGTGAAACAAAGGAAAACGAATAACCTCAAATTCCGTCCTGGAAGTCCAAGTCTTTGTTACATGATCAGGCACTTCTGACAAGTACCCTGTGCATCTGAAAAATCCTAATGGGATGTTGATAAGGGTACAGTTTATATGTGGGTCCCACTGGCAGCAAGAGCGATTTAGGATAGAAGGTTAAGTACACTGCCACTCTGTAGGCTACGGAAATCTATATCCGTATCTGTTCAATACAAGTGTCCTTTGACTAGTCATTTAAACCTATAGGACCCCAGGGGCAGGTAATGCACCCAGTAAAGGGTGACCTGGGCTGAGGTATTATGAGGCCTGTTTAGTTCTAGCTCTGGCCCTGCTACTAACCACTTGGGAGATCTAACTGTACCTTAAGGAATATAATCTGTTTCCTTGATCTCTCAGGGAATATAGGTTAAATTATATAAACATATGTGTATGTACACATATATGCATCATAGATACATAAATAATTTGTATCAGGGAAATAAAAGGAAAATCACTGAATATCTATAATGTGGACAGCACTGTGCTAGAGGGTCTCCCTAGTGCCTCCTAAGACTATGATACAGTTATTATTCTGATTTCTACAAATGGGGAAATGAAAAGTCCCATAACTAGTTCGAGGCACCCAGCAAAGCTAATATTGAACCCCAATGTGCCTGACTCCAAAGATCATTCTTTTACTACACATGGGATGGAAAACAAAACATCAAAAATGTTTGAAGAAATGGAAATTCCAGCATTGTCTTGTCTTTACTACTACTGATCTATTACTTTAGGCAAATCACTCATCTTCTCTGCTTCTATTTTTGTACCTCTGTAAGAACAATAGTCCCTGTCCTACTCTGTCATATGGTAGGGACTCTGTGAGGCTCACAGGAAGTAACAGATATGGAAGTGTGTTGACATACATAATGAGCTTCACGATACTGAGTATTCCTACAATCACTGTGAGTTTTCTCATGACCATGGGAGGGCAGGCAAATTATCTGCAAACTTTATTAAGAAGACTTTAATCCAGAAAATATCAAAATAAAGTTGCAGTCCTTTGACCCTGGTCTCCCACCTCTGATTTAATCAAAGCAGCTCTGGCTGCCCTCTCCTTCATTCCTCTATCCCTGTAGCCCTGTACCAGACTGAATGCTCGGAAACTCATTTCAATGAGATTTTTAGAGAAAGCCCAGGGTGGCCTCATGTTTCCATGTTCCCTCTGCCCTTTAATGCCCCATCCTGGGGCTGCAGCTTGGGTATAAGTGAGAGTGTGAAAGCCACATTTCCATAATAGGATTCCATAGGTAGGAAGAAGCTATATATGGCAATGGGTTACATTTCACTGTTTAACAGCTCATCAAATCAGAACTAAGCTGCCTTTAAAACAACTTGTAGAGTCTTGTAGAGTTTTGGTGATTTATTTTCACATTAAGAACTCAATTCCTTGAAAAAAAAATTTTGGACAAGGCAGTTTTGCAGCTGCAACATGCTACAATTGACATCTAAAGGGAGTGGCAAAAAGTGTAAGAAGTGGAATGTAGAAATCAAGGAGGGAAAAGCCTCACAAACTTCAAGTTCAGAAGAGAGAGAGGGAAATGAACAGTGTTATCTGATAGCCACTTGAAGTTTAAGAATGGTTAAAAAAGAACATATGTGAAAGTACGATATAAATATGAAGTCTAACAAAGCTTTATCATTTTAACTCTCTGGATCTTAGTTTCTCAATTTTTAAGTTCCCAGCTTATCACAATTTGGTGTTAAAGATATCCTGGGCACCTAAATGGCAGATGCACAGAGTAGACTTACAAAGCTCCAATTCCTCTTATGGCAATACTGCCTTCACAGTTATAAACCATATCCAAATAGTGAAGGCCACCTTGTCACTTCCCTGGCTGGCCCCAGGGCTACCACTAGTATTCCTGAGCTTCTCCTGGCTCCACTTATGTCTAATACTAGAGAATGGTAACTAAGATTTCCGTGCATTTGAAGGTTGTTGGAAAGTTACAGGTTCATTTTAGAAAGAAAGCTGTTCTTGACAGCACTCTGAGCCACGATACCTCTTTCCCACGTAAACTATTTTGATAGATCTCAACTAAAATCCCTCACTTCACAAAAGATTGTGTTGTGCTGAAATGGTGCTCTTATAGTATTGGCTTATTAAAAGCAAAAAAGAAACCTAGAAAGAAAAAAAAAAGATATCCTGGGCAAATACAATTAAGTACATATTTTCTCAACTATTACTTCTTACAGTCTTTGATGGGGAATGTGTTTAAGAGGAAGAGGCTATAGGGGTCTTAAAGCTTCTGAGACCTAGGGGAAGGCTATTTGTAGGTTAAGAGGGACTCAGGATGAGTCTTGCATGAGCTGTCTTGCTTCTAACTACAAGGAAAGTGGGAAGGGAATCCCCGCTGCTATTCTGTTGGTAAGTGGCTTGTGATACATGCTGAGTTAAGATGATTTTTCCCAGAACTATTAAAAAAATAAAAAAGGTAGAGAAAAATCTCTTGATCGCACTGCCAGTTTGGCTTAGTTATCCTTCCTTCTGGCAAGAATCGGCAAGGTTTTTTTGTAAAACACCAGACAATAAGTATCTTAGGGTTTGCAGGTCAAATGATCTCTGTGGCTATGCCTCAGCTCTGCATTTATAGCACAAAACCACCCGTAGACATATGATAATATGTAAACAAATGAATATGGTTCAGTTCCAATAAAACTTTTATTTTGGACATTGAAATTTGAATTCCATATAATGTTCGTGTTAATATGTCATAAAATGTTATTCTTCTTTGGATTTCTTTTTTTGACTATCTGTATGGCTTATGGGCCATACTGGTGGGTCACAGTTTGCTAAGCCTTGCTATGGTCATACCAGGCAATGGCTTTATTTACAGTAGCAGAATCTTTTGGTAGGTAAATGGCTCTTTAGAAGTTAGGCTTTAAGAAGGAAGTCACAGTGCTGAGAAAGCAGAGTGCTGCCCTTCCTCCCTCAGCTGCAACGTGGGGCACAGTGTAGTTGCTCAATAGACCCTTCTTGCATTATCTGGGCCATATGCTTAACAAACAGTGAAAACGGTGCCAAATATGCAGAGAGCTTATATTACAGTGGTGAAAAGTTTGCACTCTGGAACCTGACATATGTGGTTTGAATTTTGGTTCTACCACTTACTCTCAGAGTAACCTTGGGCAAGTTACTTAATCTGTGACTTTTTTTTTTCATTTGTACAATGATTGTTTTGGGGAATAAATGAGAAAAACTATATAAGGTATTCAGCACAGGCCTTATAAATGACAACTGTTAAGGTTATTAACTATTAAAAGCATGAGATCTAGTTTTGCCCCAGATCCTGTACTATCTTGCAACAATAAAAATAACTGGATATCTTTTGGCGGCGGGGGGTCCCTACTTTACCCTAAGTGAAATTTTCCTGGAATGTTGAGGCTAACTTTAAAGCATGGAGTCTGGACATAACAGTGGCTGCTTACAGCCAGGTCACGGTAGGACTTCCCTTTCAATCTTTTTTCTGCCTGTGTTAGCATCTGCAGCAGGATATTAGCTCAGCCCTATGATAATTTGGGTGATTCAGTTCTAGTGGATATTAGCTGCCAGCTACTAACCCTGAAGGTAAGAGCAAAATAGGCTAAAAGAAAGAACAGGCCCTGGACAGGACTAATTAGATTGCTGCTGACAATTAAAAATTCATCTCAGAGGAATGGTGACCTCATCATACCATCTTGAGATAGAAAAACCAGGTGTCTTGTGAGCTTGTCTTTCAGATCCAGAGCCAGGGAAAGGCTCCAGTTTGCCAAGCACATTTTTGGTTCTCAGTTGAAAATAAATCCCTGCTTTCTGCTCCACTGCCTGCCATCTCCTTTGCAAAGTTGGCCCCATTAGGGAGGGCCTGGCTCCATGAGGGTCTCATTTATATAGGCTGTGTTCTGCCTCATAGTCCACACACTAAGGGCAGGGAGGGCCACATCCCTAGAGTCCAGACATTTGTGACGGGAATAAGAGAGATGCCTACTAAGGAGGGAGAAGAAAGCAAACACTTCTGAAAGAAAGAGGCAAAGAATGCTTATCCAATTCTGCTTGAATAGTGGGATGGAGAGTGTTTTTGCTGGTAGTGGAGCTGGGCAGGCATAGCTCCAACCTTGAGTTTTAGTCCTCTCCATTGGTAATGCCGTAGTGAGGACTGCCTGGTAACCAAAGGGATGTGGTTCTTAACCACAGTTGTATAGAGGAATCAGCAGGAGAGCTTTGAAAAAATACTGATGCCTAAGTCTCAACCCAGACCATCTGGGGATGGACCCAGACACTGGTATATGTTAAAAGCTCCGAGATGTTTCTTGCAGCCAAGATTGAGAGCCTCTGCCCTCGATTACCCAAGGCCCAACCCAATTGCTCCAGGGCAGTGGGTTGCACTTGGGTTGCTATTGGCTAAAAAAGACTAATCTCCATTTGGCAACAACACCACCAATGAAATATGTATATGTGTATGCACACAGGTGTATGCACATACATGTGTATACCTATGTGTAGCCGAGTGGACAAATTCATATCAATCTCTAGGGAAACAGAAGGTAATATGGTGACCTTACCAAATGAATATACTGGTAGCCCAGTTGAGGTCTCTCTTGCTGCCTCCCTTGACCTAGGCTGGTGTCAGGGATTCTATGAACTCAGTCCTGGCTGCTTCCATCTGCAGATAACCAAGCTTTACAGGAACCTGCATATGGAGGTTCTGATGGAGGGAATGAGCACAGAGCTTCTGGGACCAACAAGAAGACTGAACCTGCCTGGAGTAGTGGAGGAGGAAAGTGAGGTGAAGAGGAGGGGCAAGAACTAGAGCTCCTGGGTGTCCGAGGACTCGATGGACTCCGAGAGTCTGGCCACCACTCGGGTCAGGGCCCTGTTCTCAGCCTGCAGTTGCTCGTTCATCTGCTTCAAGGTTTGAATCTGTTTTAGCTGGTGGAGGTTCTGTAGAGAGTGAGACATGAAAAGGACAGACAGACAAGACAGAGAGAGACAAGACAGACCAGAGGAGAGAAAAGTAGGACAAAGAAATCACGTGACTTTTTGTTTTTGTCTTTAGTTTGCATGCAAGAAAGGAAATGAGAAATGCAGGAGTCATGGAGCAAATGGGGGCAGGCAGAAGGATGATGGAGAAAAAGCACCAGGGAGGGAGAGCTGTGTCTGATTCTTGGCTAAGATCTAAATATGCCATATGCACATAACCGCCAGGCTCTCAAAAAGCACATATGGATTGCTTTGGGGAATGAAAGCCCAGCATGAGGTCTGGGGGCTTCCGAACCAAATTAACATGGTTGAGACATAGCTTCAGGGACCCTTCACCCTGACTAGAGCTGACGACTTGTTGCGTTCCTAAATCTAGCTGCTGCCCTTTTCTCTCTCCCTTCCTCTAATCTTCCCCCTACACTCAGCTTCCTGTCCTCACTTTGTTTATTTATCTGAGACAGGATTTGACTCTGTCACCTGGGCTGGAGTGCAGTGGCACAAAACTAAAACATCTGCCTCCCAGGGTCGAGCCATCTTCCCACCTAAGCCTCCCAAGTCTCTGGGACAACAGGCATGCACCACCACACCTGGCTGATTTTTTTTTTTTGGTAGAGACAGGATTTTGCCATGTAGCCCAAGCTGTCCTCAAACTCATGAGCTCAAGCAATCCTCCTGCCTCAGTCTCCCAAAGTGCTGGGATTACAGGTGTGGGCCACTGCACCTGGCCTCTTTTTTTTAATTTAAAAAAATAAAACAAGGAAAATAAAAGAGAGGCCTATTATTTAACTATTTTTTGGTATGGGGCATGTATTGTTTAGAAGGTTGAAGTGACACATATCAAAATATGAAAGAACTGTCAGCTCTCTGGGTGGTCCTCTAGCCTGCTTTGTAGGAAGTTTCATTAACCCTGTTAGTTCTCCCCTGCAGTCCAGAGAGACTGTTCCAGGATCCAAAAACTGCTAACCTGTCTCTGACCTGCTATATGATTATATGCATCACTAAATTCACAGCTAACCGTGCTCTTTGTTTCAGTTCACGCAGTTTGAGAGCTGATTAAAGGTGCTCATAAACAGATTCATACTCTGGAAATTATAGCTGTGCACGAAAGCGGGAGAAACCATAAATGCCCACTGATAATGAAACTAGCTGGACCAATGTGCTAGTCCAGCTTTCTGTCTGTCAGTGTCATAAGTGGAACAAAATAACCAGCTCACAGACATTCTTCCTAATACCACATATTCCATAAGACATTTAAAGACTTTAATAAGTAGAATTATATCAAAGGCCTGCCGACTCTGCTACTGTCCTTCCTAAGTAGTCATCTGAATTGCCCCTGAAACTAAGACCATCAGTTCTTTGGGAGGAGAATAATGATTTTCTATGTGAATGGGGTTTCAGAGATGAGGATGGAGAATCTTGTGGGTTATAATGACCATAAAAAGGTGGCCAGGTATCAGAGAAAAGTCTCTTCAATCTACGTGATGAGAAGGATAGAAATGAAAGATTAGTGCAGTTATAGTTGTTTGGGAGTAAAGAAGCAAGAAAATGAAAGGTAGCATGAAGTGGGAAAACAGTGAAAAGGAAAAACAAGCAGAGACAAACTGCTGAATCTTGGAAAAAAGGTAGGCTAACCAAACTGTCCCATGTAGCCATTAGAGGGTGAGGACTGGCCAATCTTCTTTGCCCACTGTAAGCATCTTGGCCATGGAGAGGACAGAGGAGGGAGATCATGGTACAGCATATGAAAAAGATTAAAGCAACAGGCAGGGACCGAATTTAAAAACCAATGGAAAGTCCTGGCTCTCACCCTTCTTTGGTGTTGACACTGGACCAAAGTTTTCAACATAATCATTGTCAAATAATTGTCATTGTATGAAGTGGTACTTGCCTCCCAAGGAATGACATTAAAGACATGAATGATGAAAGTGACTTAATCTAACAAGTGAGTATAAGCAGATCAAGGTGAAAGAATTTGGAAGTTATCAGAGTGAGGGAGAGAGGCAGGAAACAATCTGGTGGAATGTTCTATAGGAAGCAGTATTGAAAATAAGGCAAGGCAAGGCAAGGCAAGGAGGAGAGGATAGCAGGGCCCAGCGCAAGATGGGAAAGGGCAGGGCTAAGGAGCAGGGTCAGCTAGTAACCTTTCCAGAGAAAAAATAAAACTTCCAGGACCAGTCTAAAAGGTAATTCATTGCTGGGTCCCTCTCATGCAAGCACCTAGGAAAGGAAGGGGAGAAGGTCTGGCAAGGAGGCTGATGCTGAATGGAGGATGCAGTAGAAAAGTAATCACATCTGATGTGGGCCAAGACCAGGTGCAGGCCTGGCACAGCTCATACTGACATGCACACCTGTCAGAAGTTGGCATATAATCCTACTCCAATCCAGGATCTGGGTGGAGTTTCTCCTGGGGAGAATTCATAAATACTTACCTTTCCAATAAAAGGCCAGAAAGGCACAACACATCTCATAACTACAGAGAGCCACATACACATCTGGGTTACCCCAGCTCATGGTTCCCCCCATTTCACCTGGGCTTTGTACTTTATTTGCTGGAGTTAGAAAAATAGGACTGAAGTCACTTTCTTTTCTTGAGTAACCTACTGAATTTTTAAGGGTTTACTGGAGATCGGCCCCCTCCATTGTTCCCTGCTAATTGCTCCAAGGAGATTTGAGCATCTGTACAAAACAAATATGCAGCAAGCATGACCAACTGGCCCCAAGCTCTACTGCGTTCCAGTTCAGCAAGACAGTTACCTGTACCTTTGGCCAGCTACCTAGTACAGAGAGATTTTGGCCACTAATCACTCTAGCAATGTTGGTCACCATAAACCATAGTCTGAATGAAGAGCTTGAGAGCTAAACAAGTATTTTCTTAGACTCCTTTAGGGCCAGTCATACCAATTTTATTATATTTATATATCTGTATATTTGAAGTTTTCACCTTCAAGTAGGTATAGACAGAAACATAAAACTGGTAAGACTGCGGAGGTGCAGATGCTTCTCCCCCTTAGTCCGCCAGCGGTGCTGGCTGATGGGCAAATCTGGTATTGGGCTTTGACTTGAGCACATGGTGTTTAGGGGTTTTAGAGTTTATAGGCATTTCTTCTTCATTTGGCTTTGTGATAGATAATAGAGAATAATGGACAACTGGCTGAAGGTGAGTGAATGTTTTAACTAAAAAACAAAATCAGTCTCAACACAGCTTACCTATTGGTTTGGGGACTAAACAGTCATGATCTGGCTCCACTTGGTAATTTAAACAACTGATTTTAGAGTTGCTGGCAATTGGCTTATGGATGGGGAGAACAAACACTTTCATATCTTACAATCTCTATTGAGGAAAGCAAAGAACTCATGACCTAGTTTAGGAAATTGTAGACTGATAGTATAAAGAGACAGAAACAAAATGTAAGTGCTGTCTCAACCTATAGAATTGAGAGCAACTAGAACCACTGAAGGGGCTTTCATAATTCCCAATTTAGAATTGGAACAGAAATAAGAAAGAGCCTCAATTTCTCTATTTGACCACTTTCTGGGTATCCATATGTGGGCCCGCTTGGATGTGAGACAAAGCCCCATGACTGTGGGTGGAGGACTGCTTTGGGCTCCGAGGAGCTCCTTGGAAGGTTCCAGATTTGGCCATAATTACATGCTCTAAATCAGCATTTAGGCCATTTCTTAATAAGCAACACTGACAGCTGCCTAACAGCAGAGTTCATATGGTATAACTCAGGAGGTGTCAAAAGTGGAGGAGCCTCCATGCAACAAGGAGCTGCAGATATTCATTCATCGAGAAATGGTTAGCTCAACTGGGTGTGGTGGCATGTATCTGTAGTCCCAGCTAATTGGGGGGATGAGATGGGAGCATCATTTGAGCCCAGGAGTTCAAGTCCAGGGCAATATAGTGAGATTCCATTTCTTAAAAATTAAAAAGGAACTGGTCATCTCTAATAATTCATTGCTCTAAGTGGGAAAGAATACTTCTGTGTGGTAGTAAGGTGCATTTGAAAAAATCAGAAGATGGAGAAGTTTAGGTGTTAGGGCTTACTGTTCTACCATCTCAGGAGAATCAATTATTCATGATTTCTATTTCTTGCTGGTTTGAATCAACTTGGAAGATTTAAAGTGTTTGAGATATAAGCAGGTATTACTTAAAATTCTATGTGAATGTTACAGTTACAGCCTTGGATGGTGGTAAGAAATGCAGGAGCAAGGCTCGGCATTTTTCCTTCATTCTGGAATTACAGAGTAATAGGACGGATTACGAGCACCAGATCTGGTTTAAGTTAAAACTACAACAGATTTAAAATTTTTTTTTTTCCAGTAAATAACCAACCTCTTTAGGCCACTGGAACAATAAACATCTCTCCCAAATTGCGTATTAGGGATGCCTACTCATAGAAACACATTTGGGGATCTGCCTAATACTATCCCAGTGCTCGCTTCCCAGCTGAAGAAACCTGTCTCACCTAAAAAGACATCATGTATCTGGTAAAATAAGATCCTTGAAGAAAGAAAACAGCTGAGCAGGTGCTAAGTAACTGTGGGCATGTAGCATCATGCATTGCAGGAATCAGATGTTCCAAAGTCATCTCCACGTGGCTACCCTGACCAGCAATATGTTCCCTACAGCTCTCTATCCACCTTCCCCCTTTCACCCTCCTCCCCTCCCCCAACCCCATTGTCTTCCATGGCAGCAAATTGACTCCTTATGATAGATTTCCAGTTCTTAGCACTCAAAACTGCCCAGGATGACAGTTGTCTATTAAAGTGGCTAATGGAGGTGATGGTTACAGGTCATAGTGAGGAGAGAAGGGAAAGTAGTGAGCTGTGAAGTGTATCTGGTGGCATGAGCTTATTCTAGTGGGAGAGTGTCAAGCATCCTTGAATATTTCAGAGGAAACGAACTGGGCCAGGAAATCAATATGTAAATATATTTTTATTCTGCTGCAGAATGATTCAATCTGTGTTCTTCCCAGCAAAGGGATGGGGTGGGAGGGGCACCAGGGAGGAAAGCCTATGGCCATGCTCAGGCTTTCCTAGGCACCTAAAGGGAGACGTCCAGAGCTGGAAAACTTGTTCTAGCCCTCTCATTTACCTTCTAGAGGTGAAGATGCTGCAAGCCTTAACATTTCAATTCAAGTTTGTTTCCAGCCTGCCGAGACCTCTCCTTAAACCAAAGGCAGCATTGTTTCCTAGGAGGCCCTTAAGGTGACCTCAATGGATGTTGTGTGAGCCGAGAGAGCCTAGGAAATGGTTCAGGAGAGATGCTCAGTTTTTTACACATCATTTCTTACAGGTATGGAATTTGCAGTGAAATCTGGAGTGGGGAGGCCTATGCTCAAATATGAAGTCTTGGCAGGCATTCAGAGAACAGACATACAAAGAGAAAGAAAATCTCTTCATACCTTCATTTCTTCCTCCATTTCTGACATTTTGCGCTCCAAGGCTCGCCTCTCCTGTATAGGAATAATGAGACTGTTGAACATTTACTGAATTCAGAAGGGAGTAAAAATGCTGCCTCTTAGCTGCTTTGTGATCAGCAGATTCATGGTCAAAGGGTTCGTCAGTAGACGAACCTTACTCAGGAGATTTGAGCACTATCTGATCCTGCCACTTGTGGGATGGAGCTACTTCACTGATAAAAATCACATCAAAATCCCGTATCATAAAATTAGTAGATACATGGAGAAGCACCTTGCTAATATGCAAATGGACCAGGACACTCAGTTATTCTGTGCAGGTTGAAGATTTCATAGAATTTCAAAGGTATGCAATTGACTAGGGCCCCTGCTCTCTATTATCAAAAACGCATCATTATCTTCAGTAACAATCTCCCTAAATTCCTAGGAAACCGCTTCTCTCATGATGGGGAGCAGATGGTGAGCTGGGAAGTAGACATTATTGTCTAAGAAACAGCATCTCTCCTCCTAGTTTTTTCCCTCCCCCTGTAATACTCCTCTGCCCCTCCATTTTTCTTTACCAGCGTCTGACTTTTGGTTCAGCCTGAACCCAGTGAGGAGTTTCTGATCAGATGGGATACTACCAAGGAGGTCTGGTTACAGGCCAAAGGAATAAAATGTAAAACTTAGCTGCTTTCCAAATTAAACAGACAACAACCGGACAGATGGGAACATATTATATCCCTAGGGTCAAATCAAAGCTGGGGTCCATCAATAAATCTAATTGAATTTTCCCAATCCAAGAATGTAAAATCCCAGAATAATATTCTGAGTACAGTTGGAAGGAGGTCAGCAATTGAACCAGAAATCCTCCCCTCAGTCAAAATGAGTGAAAGCCTGAGTTGGCTCATGTTTCAAGCTGTAAGACCTAAATCAATGGCAGAGGGTCCCACTGAAAGCTTCCATTTTGTTTAAGGCAATAACAAGGGTAAAGAGACTTTGCTGTGTGTGTGTGTGTGTGTGTGTGTGTGTGTGTGTGTGCCTGCAATACAGTAAACCAAAAATGTTATGGGTTGTGTGAATATGCAGTTCTGCCCATGGTCGAAACATTGTATGAGATGACCTTCCAAGGACCCTTCCCCATCTTAAGACTGAATATGTGTAAAGTACTGACATCTGAGGAAATCAAAAGGACTAGCAATCAAATTACTGCCCAGAATCAGACAAAAAGAATTTATCATCAAGCTGGGAATGGAATGTGGCAGAACTCCCTCCTTCTTAAGATGGACTTTTTCCATTGGCATGAACAACAAAGTTAGAGACAGTCAGAAAGAAGAGATGAAATGGGGGGAAACAGACGTGAACATACCCGTTTCTCCATCTCCAGCACTGATGATCGGTCAGAGGTCTTTTCTTGTTTCTGCTGGTGCAAATGGAAGAAAAACAGTTGTTACTTAAGTTGTCTCAGGGCCAGTAGAATACCCAGTCTAGTTCAGTGTCACTACTGGACATCTAGAAATAAACAGTAAAGCTCTGGATTTCCCCTATAGCAGGAATCCCCAGCAAACAGGTTCTGATAGGTCTCTAAGCCTAACATTATCACCTCTCTGAAGTTTGCAGGATTCCCTCTGAGGAGGAGAAGGCAGTAGTAGGATTCCCTGAAATTACAAAGACATTACTCACAATACATAATCTCTCTCTCTCTTCCACTAGGTCTTCAATGCTAATTATAGTCTTATATCTCACCATTCTTCTCCCCTCTTTATTCTATGAATAATATCACAACCCAGAGGAAATTAAAAAATGGCTTTTCTTTAAAAGGCAGGCAGCTCCTGAGCTTGAATATCTAAGGCCAATGGCACTTGTCTAAATAATCGCCTTTCCCCTATTCTTTCTGTTTTGGGAATTAATACCATTTTTCTTCTAAAGCAGTGGTTTTCATATGTGGATGGGCTTTTAGGGGTTCTTCGGAGTCCACTCATGGCATCTGCCTTGCTTTGAACAGAGGTACTCCACTTTTATCTGTCTTAACATTCAGCTTTCAGATAAGGTAATTTTATTTGAATAAAAGATTTAGAATGTTTATTTTAGATCATCTTTGACTTAACTTTTGCAGAGGGGCTGAAAAGATTTAGCCTCAGGACTAAAAACCAGAATAACCTCAGATAATGACCCTTTCTTAAAAAGAGAATGAAAAACCCTTAAGTCCCTTTTGGCTGTAGGGTCATAGAACTCAGCAGAATTTCTAACATTCAGTAGACATTTAATAACTGCTGGGTGATTATTTTTATTTTGCTTAGTGTCATGCAGAGACAATTATTTAAATAAATACAGAAATTATGCTGGTCAGTCAGCTGCAGTGGCTCACACCTATAATCTCAGCACTTTGGGAGGCCAAGGCAGGTGGATCACGAGGTCAGGAGATCGAGACTATCCTGGCCAACATAGTGAAACCCCGTCTCTACTAACAGTACAAAAATTAGCTGGGCATGGTGGCACGTGCCTGTAATCTCAGCTACTCGGGAGACTGAGGCAAGAGAATCACTTGAACCTGGGAGGCAGAGGTTGCAGTGAGCCGAGATTGCGCCATTGCACTCTAGCCTGGCGACAGAGTGAGACTTTGTCTCAAAAAAAGAGAAAGAAATTATGCTGGTCTTCTTGCAGTGGTTTCTTTTTCTTTTTAATTAAGGAATGGCCAGAACTAACAGTAAAACTCAGAATTCTGTCTCCTGTTCCGGGCTTTCACCTTCAGTTCAGAAGGGGCATGGCCATCTGCCTTTATGCTGCATCTACTATGAAGCAGAAGGAAAAGAAAAAAATGCAGAAATAGATTCTACAGCTTGTTCATATTCTCATAAGTCTTTCTTTCCTAAGCCTAAGGAGCTGTAGAAGCTGTGATGATTTCAAGATTTTCAAGGTTTATATACACAAATAACTAGTTTTTTGTTTGTTCTGTTTCAAATTTTGACTCCCTTAGAGTATGGGTGGATCGTTTATGTAAAAATATTGTGTATGCTCATATGGTAACTGTCTCCATACAAATGTGTCAGGCTTACAAGCCCTCCCTCCACTGGCCTGCCAAACAACTCCATTTTTGGTAAACAGCAGAGACTTAGTTTGTAGCAGCACCGTTTCTTCTGAATTTCAATAACTTGTATTTGGCAAAACTAAGTATATTCTGACACACCCAGCAAAGCAGTTGGCCGAAGAGTAATGCTTTTCCCCAGCAACTGGAAAGGCTGATTTTATTTTCAATGCCCTCTGTGCAAGTCAATGTCAGCAGCTTGTTAGACTGCTCACTGCTATAAGGCACGGGCTGGTGGAAATGCTGAGAACCCCTAAAGGTCAAGACATATGCTGTCAGAAGCTTCTGCTGAGGAAAGTGGGGAGCAGGTGAAACTGCTCTTCCTGTGGTTCCTCACATGACTGCATGACTGCTCCTTAATTTTCTGTAAAACAATCCTAGTAATAACTGATGAGAACCAGCATAAGGTCTGTATGTATAAACCACTGCCAATATGTGGCACCATTCAGAATAAAAATTAGCCCCAGATTTCTTCTGAGGGTCTACTGTGAATGAGACATTTTTTTGCCTGGCTCAATAATGTTGGAGTGAGAAGAGACCTTAAGATTTATTCTGTCCACCCACCTGCCTTAAGGCACGGTTATAACTATGTGTGTATATTTTTTTTCTTTTAGATTTAGACAACCTACTTTTCTTATTCCATGAGATCACTTTAAGCCTAGTTATTATCTATCTGTGTTGCAGTCGGTCTCAGGAATTTCCAGTAGAGCCATGTTGGGCTACTATAATCAGGAAGAAGAGGGTGGCTCTTCTAAGCTGACAGGCAGTTCACAGGACAGGCCAACCATTTTGTACCTGGGCAAGCCCTGCTCCAGAAAGTGAGCATCCTGGCTGTCTTGCTGGGGTTCTACGCAGCTCTGTGGGGGTGTCTTGCAAGTGTTGGCACCCTCCTGCTCATCCCATTCCAGAGGGGTTACAATAGGATGATTAGAGGGTACTCAGCCACCCTGCCCTCCAAACTCCATGTACTTGGTACCGTACAACCCTAGCATTTTAGTCTTTGCTTTTTTATAGCCAGTCATATTGCCAGAATGACTAGCCACCTCTGGTTTTCATTTCAAGCCTTCCTGGTAAAGAATCATTTAACTTCAGCTTTCAAATTCTGAATCCCCAGGCATTCTAGGAGGGAAATAACTCAATAGGTTTCCTGTTAACTCAGCAATAACCTAAGGCAGTGCTTGCTTTAGCTTTCAGTGTTTGTTTCACTGGTGATGAGGTTATTACCTCTAGCATCCTCTAAAGCATCATCTAATTAAATCAGACCTGGCAGTGAGAGGATATGGGTTATTAGTCTTTCTGCCACGAATATTCCTTATCTGTAGGCTGAAAAAGAGTAGTGGCTTGGGGAGATAACATATGCTACAGAATCTTTGCTTTGGGACTTAATCCTATGTTGTGGCACCACCTTTGCCTTTGATTTGTTGTTATATGGCATAAGCAAACCACTTATTTCTCTAGGCTTAATTTATTACCTCTCTGCCCTAGGTTTAATAGTGTCTTGCTTGTCTCTCTACCAGTGGTGATGTGTAGATAAATTAAACTGAAACATAATGAACAAGACAAGAGAAACTGTCTAGGACTAGCTTTGTAGTTCTGGTTTATGCTTTTCTACTAAGAAAGTAGATGATGCTCTATAATTAGAATTCAGACCATCAGGAATTGTTCACTGAATTATCATTTTCCATTTTAAGTTAAACACTGACTGAAACCTAAAATCAAATTATAATCTAAGAAGCTTCTATGTCATTGTCCCTGAGAAGGCCCGATCTTGACTCCATCTCACTTCCTGACCCTTACAGCCCTAGTCCAGTTTGCTTCCTTACATCAACCCTTGGTTCCCATCTTTTTTCTTCTTCTTCCCTCTTACCTGGGCCACCTTCTCAAGCTTGGATTTTATATCTGCTAGCTCTAGCTGGGCCTCCTGAAGTTTTGTTTTCAGTTTTTGATTTTCAGTCAGGGCACTCTCATAGAGCTAGAGGAGGGCGAAAAAGAGGATCAGGGCTCATGTTAGAATTCACACCATTTCATCACTTGAGAACGCCCAGGGCTCTGTGCCCCAAGCCACCACTGTATGGTAGATAGAGAAGATGAAGGAAGTTTAGGGAGCAGAGTACATTCAGCCAACTGGTTTCTTGCTTTTTCAAAGTGATGAAGACAAAGAGAATGACGATGCTCCAACTTCAATAATGTTAATCTCCAGGGGAAAAACAGTCATTCCATTTTATCCCATGGAACATTATCACTGCTCAAAAAAACAATGAAAAAGAGAATTATTTTTTTTGGAACCAGCCTAGTATGTGTATTGATTTTAGTCAAGTTCTGCTTAACAAAACATTAACAGAACAGGAACTCTTTATTCCCTTTTGAGACAGGGTCTTGCTCTGCCACCCAGGGTGGAGGGCAGTGTCATGACCACACCTCACTGCAGGCTTGATGTCCCAGGCTCGAGCAATTCTCCTACCTTAACCTCCTGAGTAGCTGGGACTACAGGCATGAGCCACCATGTCCAGCTAATTTTTCAATATTTTTTAGAGATGGGGGTCCCAACTATGTTGCCCAGGCTGGTCTTGAACTCCTGGGCTCAAGTGATCATCCCACCTCACCCTCCCAACATGCTGTGATTACAGGTATGAACCACCATGCCCGTCCTAAACTTTTCTTAACAAAAATATTTTTTCCTGGTATCTAAAACATCTGAAAGGGAAAGTTTTAAAGTCTACTCTTAGAGCTAGGTACTATTCTATAAGAACAAAGGAAATAAACTGTAAAGTGATGATGAATTTCTTTTTTTTCTTTAACTAATACAAAGTAGTTTTTAGTTGATATTCTCAGGAACTTATCAGAAGCACATGTTTGTTAAAAATTACAGTCTACCACATGATTCTCTGGGACTCAGAAAGACAGCATTAGGTTTTTAAAATCCTTTTTATATCCTTAATTTCTTACACTTCCAAATATCTGATTCGAACTATGTATTTACTGCACTAAAAACAATATATGGCTGGGCATGGTAGCTCATGTCTGTAATCCTAGCACTTTCGGAGGCTGAGGTGGGAGGATTGCTTGTTGCCAGGAATTCAAGGCCAGCCTGGGCAATATAGTGAGACCCAATCTCCACAAAAAACTAAAAAATTTAGCCATGTGTGGTGGTGCATGGCTGTAGTTCTAGCTACTCGGCAGGCTGTGGCAGGAGGATCCCATAAACCCAGGAGTTTGAGAGTGCAGTTAGTTATGACTGCACCACTGCACACAGCCTGGGTAACAGAGTGAGACCCTGTCTCAAAAAAGAAAAAACACACACACACACCTCAATATATGAAGGGGTCCTTAGCTTTTTGGAGAGGAGAAGTAAACCCAGAAAACTGCAAGGAATTATTATTACTTATCTTTTATTCTGATTATTCAAAACTACAGTAATTTTTCTGAATGCAGTGGGGAAAGGCTGAGAGGTTTATACATCACCCAAGAACCAGATAATTGAATAAAGAGCCTACTTTTTTATAATCTCTGTTGCTGTCTTCTTCTACACGGCTGGTCAGGGTGGCTAGACGGGCCTCCCGGGCCTCCCGACGGGCTCTTGCTGAAGCCCGGTCACCATAAGAATCACTGGTTGTAGGATTACTACCTCCTGATTCCAACCTGTGGGAGATAATATTAAAGGTAAAAATTGGTTTTGAGAACAAAGTGGTGGCGGGTGGGGGGAGGTAATGCTCAAGGGGAGTTTGAGCCTTTGCTAACTATTTCAGAGCCCTGGCCAGAAACAACTCATAACATTCTTTCCTTCAATCCTCTGCCAGCATTCCCAGACCTCAGGGCTAAACGGCACAAGCTTGGAGAGGGAGGCCGACCATCATTTGCCAAGAATGAAGCTTATTGAAAAACTAGTGGTTTGGACTTATGTGCTGACTTAAATCTTAAGAGCTTTTCAAATTAGTTTAGGATTGAATAGCTTCCCTCAAAAGTGTGCTTTTAAAATAAAGGTTTCTTGAATTTCAATGGCTCTTGGAAAAATGATTACAATGAAATGTCAATGAATCAGAAACATATGGACTTAGAGATCTGAGTTGGAGGTTGAATAGGAAAGAAACAGCCACTAAGGGCATGGTACATATGTCTTTTAGGTGCTCTACAGGTCTTCTGGAATCCTAAACATTTTAGGGATACTAACACAGTACCCAATGAGCTAGTTTTCTACCATTTTATCTATACTCCACATCAAGACTGCTGTGCCTGTGATTAGATTTTCTACGTATTTTAGCAACTGAGCTCTTAGAGTTGATATCGGTTTTATTTCCAGTATTGGTAAGTTCATTAAGAGAAGGATCTCTCAGCTGATTACCTGTTTAAGTGTACAACTATCACCCTAATCCTTAACACTAGTTTATATTTTTCTCAGACTTTGCTCTTTACAAATTAAAAGGCAGCACTTATGAAACTGAAATCAGCCCTGCAGAGTGCTACATCCTGAACTGGGATGGTTTGAAGAGTCACAAATGTGAAACTTGCATCTGATGTGTCTGTCCTGTGGTAGCTATTTGCCATAGCTGGGGGTGGCGAAGATGAAGTAAGTACTAGAAGAGGGAGAAGAGCAATAAGGAAGACACAGAGAAGGTAGAGGCAAAGTAATTAGCTCCTAATGACAATAGTGGCCACTTTTCATTTACAGAGATGCTAAGTCCCACATTCTTCAAAACATTCTTTTTCTTTTTTTGTTAAGAAAAATCTCTTTATTGAGTTTCCTGATTATAAAAGCCATATACGCTTGTAGAAAAAGTTAATACTGAAGTATCTAAAGTAGTAAGTGAAAGGGTCACCCCATAATCCTACCTAAGAAATAACCACTTTTGGCCAGGCATGGTGGCTCAAGCCTGTAATCCCAGCACTTTGGGAGGCTGAGGTGGGAGGATCACAAGGTCAGGAGTTTGAGACCAGCCTGGTCAACATGGTGAAACCCCATCTCTACAAAAGATAAAAAAATTAGCCAGGCATGGTGGCAGACACCTGTAATCCCAGCTGCTTGGGAGACTGAGGCAGGAGAATAACTTCAACCCAGTAGGCAGAGGTTGTGGTGGGCCAAGATCACGCCATTCCACTACAGCCTGGGCAACAGGGCAAGACTCTGTCTCAAAAAAAAAAAAAAAAAAAGAAAAGAAATAGGACTTGTAACTGTTTAATTCATACCCTTTCAGAATGTCAAGTATATTAATATGTTAAAATACATATTTCTATAAATAAATTCAGATAATATACACTGTTGTCTAACTCCTCCTCCTCTCTATACTTACCGCTCTGATTGTGGGCATCTTGCCATCTAAGTAAAAACAGATTTTTCTCATTAAAAAAAAAAAAGGCTGCAGTCTTCTCCATTGCATGCCTGTAAGGTAATTTAACTAATCTTCTATCGATAAACACTTAGATTTTTCAAAATCTTTAGCTATTATAAACAACGCTAAAATGAGCAGACTTTTCTATAAACCTTAGTGCCTCTGTCCAATTACCTTCTTAGGATAAATCTTAAGAGTGTAACTGTTTGGTCAAGGGGTAAATATATTTGAAATGCTGATATACATATATTGCCATATTGTCCTCCAGAGAGATTTAATCCTTTCTAATCCAATAGTTGATACATGATATCTGTCATTAATTTAAATATTATATTTTATTTATTTATTTTGAGACAGAGTCTTGCTCTGTCACCCAGGCTGGAGTGCAGCAGTGTGATCTCGGCTCACTGCAACCTCCGCCTCCTGGGTTCAAGCAATTCTCCTGCCTTAGCTTCCCCAGTAGCTGGGATTATAGGTGCACACCACCCTGCCTGGCTAATTTTTGTATTATTTAGTAGAGATGGGGTTTCACCATATTGGCCAGACTGTTCTCAACCTTCTGACTTTGTGATCCTCCAACCTTAGACTCCCAAAGTGCTGGGATTACAGGCGTTGAGTCACTGTGCTCAGCTAATATTTTAAAATCATTATGAATGATAAATATCTTTGTTTATTTGTATTTCATTTTTTGTTTGTTTGTTTGTTTCTGAATTGCCAAGTCATAGCCTTTGTTCAGTAGGGTAATCATCTTTTTCTTATTATAGTGGGGGAACCTCCTATATAGTAGGGCTTTTAAAACTAGGCTGCAAATATTTTTTATCACTTCACTTTTTGTCTCTGTTTATAGTGTCTTTTACTTAGAGATTTTAAATTTTAGATAATTAAATTTGATGCTTTTTATCTTTGTGTATTGTCAGAGGCATATGAACCAGAGCAACTCCATCTTGAATAGGGATTGGGTAAAATGAGGTTAAGACCTACCAGGCTGCATTCCCAGATGGTTAAGGCATTCTAAGTCACAGGATGAGAAAGGAGGTTGGCACAAGATAGAGGTCATAAAGACCTTGCTGATAAAGCCAGTTGCAGGGTTGCAGTAAAAAGGCCAGCCAAAACCCACAAAAAGCAAGATGGTGACAAGAGTGACCTCTGGTTGTCCTCACTGGTACACTCCCACCAATGCCATGACAGTTTACAAATGCCATGGCAACATCAGGAAGTTACCCTGTATGGTCTAAAAAGGGGAGGCATGAAAATCCACCCCTTGTTTAGCATATAATCAAGAAATAACCATAAAAATGGGCAACCAGTAGCCCTTGAGGCTGCTCTGTCTATGGAGTTGCCATTCTTTATTCTTTCACTTTCCTAATAAATTTGCTTTCACTTTACGGATTCTCCCTGAATTTTTTCTTCAGTGAGATTCAAGAACTCTCTCTTGGGGTCTGAATTAGGACCAATTTCCAGTAAAGCTATCACACTTGAAAAGGCTTTTCCTATATAAAGATTATAAAATATTCTCTTCTTGGCCGGGCACAGTGGCTCAAGCCTGTAATCCCAGACTTTGGGAGGCCAAGGTGTGTGGATCACGAGGTCAAGAGATTGAGACCATCCTGGTCAACATGGTGAAACCCCATCTCTACTAAAAATACAAAAAATCAGCTGGGCATGATGGCACATGCCTGTAATCCCAGCTACTCAGGAGGCTGAGGTGGGAGAATTGCTTGAACCCAGGAGGCGGAGGTTGCAGTGAGCCGAGATCGCACCATTGCACTCCAGCCTGGGTAACAAGAGCGAAACTCCATCTCAAAAAAAAAAAAAAAAAAATATATATATATATATATATATTCTCTTCTAACTTTTATGATAAAACACTTTTCTCTTACAAATTGTAATCCATCTGAAATCCATTTGTTTGTTTTTTTGGTATGGCTGAAGGGAAGGATATAGTTGGTCAAACAGATAGTCAACTGTCCTAATGATCACTTATTGAATAATTATTTCCTCATTGAGATGAAGTCACCTGTGATTTTTTGAGGGCTATGGATCGTATTCCACAGATCTCTTTGTTTATTCTTGAACTAGTGCTTCACTGTTTTAATCAATAGTTTCATAGCATACTTTGAAGTCTGTGGGGAAAAGTTTCCTTTCACAAATGACCATTATAAATACAAGAGAGTTCACAAAAGATTACAGTAAAATAACACTCTCCAACAATTTTGCAAAACTAAGTAATTTTCTGCTAGGTTAGAAGTAAATGATTTGTCCTCAGCTGCTGCCTGGTGAGAGGACAAGCAGAGGAAAAATGTAGGTAAAATTTAGAAGATATTAATAAGGCAGAACCAGCTCAATACCAAAGTATAAGGAAACTCATTTGCCCTATGCTCCCATAACCACATCTTCCCACAATTTCTTAATTTACCCATCAAAGGAAGAGTAGAAAAAGAAAGATTCCAATTTTTGGGTCTGTAGTCTATTATTTTTTATTTAGCTCCTTTTTTCAGAAGATCAGTTTTGTACGCTTAGATACTAGGTGAAAAACTGCAAAGGGTCATTCCCCAACTTTTGATATCTTTTCTTAATTTTTCAGCAATTGCAAAAGAGGTCCTTAGTTCCTTCATTCAACAAACTACTAACGTGCACCATCTAGGCACGAGGTATTTTGTTGGATCCACTATTAAATAACAGTATCTAACCTCAATCCGAACCACCAAATTAGGTTAATTGCTCTTCTTTGTGCTCAGAATACCGGTTGTACTTTTAATGGGCACTGATTAAGTTCTATTGAAATGATCTGTCTCTCTAGTGGCTTGTTAGCTAATTGAAGGTTATGGATACTGTCTTACTCACGTTGTTTCCCTAATACCTAGCATGGTGCCTGGTACACTGTTGCTTTAAAAAAATTAATCTAGTGGAAGTCTACAGGGTGAATTGGAAAGAGGAGAATCTGCAGGCAGGAAGGTAAATTATTGTAATGGCTGTGGAAATTAAAAGAAAGGAAAGGATGTGAGAAACATTACTGAATTATTACATACAGCTAGGTTTAATTAGACATGCATTCACTCACAAGTATTAAGCATGCATATAAAACAGGCTGAGTTCTTACCTAGAAAGTCTTTCATGCTAGAGAAAGGAGACAAAAACAAAAAAGAAAAAAGAAAAGAAAACAGCATTAGCAAGAGACTGATTTGTATTATTTCCATCTATAAATGCACTTTTCAAATCAGATGGCTGAACACAGCTGGAGATGGGGGGTGCCATTTAAGAAAAGCAATCAAATTGACTACACAAAAGGCGACAGCCCTAGTTCACACTTCTTTGTATGCCATGACTTACTAGATTTGAGGCATTAGGGCTAGCATTGTTTTAAACTGGAAGTTAGCAAAATGTAAAATGATTAAAAATTTCTCCCCTCCCCTCCCCCTCCCAACTAACTCACCAGGCTTGTGTTCTAGGAGGGACTATCACTGACTTTCTATGTGACATTTGGCCTCTCTGGATCTCAAAATTCATTCGATCAATTTCCTTCAGTTCACAAATTCCCAACCTTGCCCTGAATGAATACTGCAACTACAAATATTAAAACTCAAGAGACTTCCTCAGTTTCTCCCAGGTTGCTAGGGAAGAAGAGTAAGGGAGAGGGGAGAAAGTCCCATCCTAGTCCCTAGGTAAAAAGAAAGTACTCTGAGGTCTCAAAAGAAAGGAGTTTTACAGATACGGCAGGTAAGCTTGGTCATTGTAAAATCAAACAACAAGTGCTTATGTCTGTGTTTGATATTTATTTTTACTGTAGATGAACTTTACCCTCCTATCCCTTCATTCTTTTTTTTAAGAACTCTGGCAAATAAAAATTCAATTGATTTAAATCCATTTAATTTTTTTTTTGAATTGTTAAACAAAGTCTTCAAGACAGACAAGAGGAGGAAAAGAAACAAAGGTCCAGTAATCTACAAAATGGATAATGAATCCTTGAACTTCTGAGGAGTTGCTTGATGACGCTGCTTTGCATTAAACCATCCCTGGAAACCACTGGCTTGTCAAACAACACAGCAGGACAACCCAACACACCACACCCTACAGCTGTCCAGGAGAAGTATACAGTGACAGCACATCTGAGTAAAGAGGACTGAATAGAGTCACCCTGATAAAAGATGGCATTTCTTAATGCAAACTCTCTTTAAATTAGGGGTTGAACTCATCAGAATAATCTTGCACACTTTTGCAAAAGCCTCAATACTGGAGATTCTGTTTCAGTAGGTCTAGAATGCAGCCTTCCTATATGTATTTTTTAAAAGTACCCCAGTGATTCTATTGTACAGCCCTGGATAAATACCACTGTACTAAATGAAAGTTTTTTTTTTTTGTTCTGTTTTGTTTTAACATGGAGACATGCCTCTATTTGAGGTGAGAGAATCATTAAGACTCATTAAGTATATGGTATATTCTTATACATTGAGTTGAGAATACTGAAAGTTGGAAATCTAAAATTCAGGACAATTCCAGGCATTCTTCCTGTCCCACATTTATATAGCTAATCTCCAGTGGCACTCATATGTATACCCCACACTATCCAAGCCTACTTTCTCAACTTTACCTAAAGTTTTTTTTCTTGATACCTTTTTTTCAAAACAGAAACTAAATTTTAATCACCTCTCAAGAACTAACATATATATTGGGCTGGGTGCAGTGGCTCACGCCTGTAATCCCAGGACTTTGGTAGGCTGAGACAGGAGGATCACTTGAGCCCAGGAATTCAAGACCAGTCTGGGCAACATGGTGAGACCCCATCTCTACAAAATAATTTTTAAAAAGTTAGCTGGGCATGGTGGTATGCACCTGTGATCCCTGCTACATCAAAAGCTGAGGCAGGACGATCACTTGAGCACAAGAGGTTGAGGCTGCAGTGAGCTGTGTCTGTGCCACTGCACTCCAGTCTGGGTGACAAAGTGAGGACTTGCCTCAAAAAAAAAAAAAGTATGCAAGTGAAGTTGGGATCCTGGGGGCTATGTCACTCATGAGCTTTGTGAGAAGACTCAGCATCTAGGTGAATTAAAATTCATAGTCCCGGAAAACTTTATTGTGACATGTCAAATACTTATGAATAATTGAGACTGAACTCCATACCAGCAAATGCAAAGCATCTATTGTATTTAAGAGCCCACTGTGTGCAGAGCCCTGTAGAGGAGGCACTGAGGAAGAAGCAGAACAAGTTTCACCACAGAACCAGGAGAGCACTATGAACATAATTAACAAATTTGCCTGAAGCAATGCAGGAAAAAGCATGAGAATATGTGCTATGGAGATAACAGTGGTAACCCAATGGCTCCAACTAAGAAAACCTAAAAGATAAGAGTTTTGGGATGATCATATTAGAGAAAAACATACAAACTCACATTTTTTTTTTCCTGGTAACAAAGATGCAGAAGAGATATATACATTTAAAAAAAAACATATTGTTATGGAGGGAAAGTTTTCTTAAAATTCCATCTTATTCCTAGTTATATTTTTAGTACCTACAGGGCCAGAACACGATAGATATTCAATAAACACTCACTGAACTGAATTGTTAATGCTTCTGAGAAGTGTGATGGCCTTGGCTGGACCTGAGTTCGAATTTCTGCTCTGACATCTAGCAATGACATCTAACTTGGCAAGTTACCACTTATTCTAACAGTAAGAATTAACTATGATAGAAGGAAGTGGACTCTTAAAATGTCAGCTTCCCCCCACCATTCCTCTGCTTTCATTTTTTTAACATAAGAATATTAAGAATATTATATTAGGCCAGGTGCAGTGGCTCACGCCTGTAATTCCAGCACTTTGGGAGGCTGAGGTAGGCAGATCACTTGAGGTCAGTAGTTCGAGACTAGCCTGACCAACATGGCAAAACCTGTCTCTACTAAAAATACAAAAATTAGCTGGGTGTGGTAGCACATGCCTTTAGTCCCAGTTACTTGAGAGGCTTAGGCATGATAATTGCTTCAGCCCAGGAGGTGGAGGTTGCAGTGAGTAGAGACAGCACCACTGCACTCCAGCCTGGGAGACAGAGTGAGACTCTGTCTCAGAAAAAAAAAAAGAATATATCGGCTATTGATGCTGGTTAGAGTTTCAAGGTATGAAGTAACAAAGCTTCAAACCTTTGTTTAAGGGAACTGAGTCCACATGCAACCAAATAAAACAATAATCTAGAAGGCCATTTAGTTTCTCTCAGTGCTTCTTGGTAGAACAGCCTTTAAACTACACCCTTTATACGGGAGTAGAATTCTTGACACTCTCTCTAAAGACGGACTTTCCACACCCTCTTAGGTATGGAAAAATGACCCATTTACAATCAAACTGGTCCCTTGGGTTTTCTTTTTCTTCCTCCTATTGAACTGTGAGCCCATGTCTGCGTGGTGTGCACAGACTGAAGCCTAACTTTCTGACAATTAAATCACGCTTATTTGCTGACTTTTCCTTGAAATGTGAAACCTAACTTGAATTTTTTCTGTTTTTTAGTTTCTTTTTTGTAAATATATTTGTTGGGTAAGATTTTACTATATCTTTAGCTTTAAATTCTTCTATGTAGATTCTGGCAGCTGCCTCTATGATGAAGAAACAAGTGTTTTTTTGTTTGTTTTTTCCATTAAAACAGGGAAATTAGGATTTTACCAAGCATCAATCTTAGCTATTATCTATATATCAAATGCTAATCATTTCCATTGCTTTATTTTTTAAATGACATGTAATTAATTCTTTTCATTTAGAATGTTCTGGAAGCACAATTAAGCCAAGAAAGTTCTCAGACAGACATGTGACTGTATAGTATAACTGTGTATACTGTATGAACTTCACTGAGGAGGTTGACATAAAATACAAACACTTAAAAATTTAAAAACAGAAAAAATAGGTTAGCACTATCAAGCAGCAATCAGAAAAAGCCCACAGAGTTCCTGGATATGAAATGGCAGATCCCAGAGGGTTTTCAAGAGACCTGAATTAATTTTTCCACTGAAGAGAGCTCATGGAGGAAGGCAATGATAATGGTGCTCACACTTGTGATTGCCACATCAATTTTTGTCCATATAGGCTTACTGTAGGAGTAAGCAGGTATTCCCTATAGCCACCTAGGAAGTTGATGACTGACACTCTTACTTCTGCTTGCTAGGCGTAACCAAAAGCAAACATCAGAGTCTGTTGCTTATTAGCTTTTAAAGGCTTGTTAAGATTCCTTGTTAAAAATTTCTTTTTGGGTAACCTTTTATAAAATGCGTAGGTGTTGTGTGATCCAGCAGACAAGGCAGTAGACAATTTACCTAGATCCAGATATCAGAGAAAACAGAGTTTGCAAGTTAATCCTCGATCTTTCCTTGCTACCTCTAACATTCCCTCCATCTTTTACCTGATTTTTGGAGCTACCTGGAATCCTTGTTACTGTTGCTGTTTTTAAATAGTATTGTCTTCAGGGTGTAGCCTTAGCAATGTCCTGGGAAAGTCAAACCTACCAATTACAGGAGAGCATATACATCTCCTAAAACCTCAGAGATTAGTGAGATTCGGATGCAGTAGAGGTAACACACTTACCTTGATACAAACAATATTATTAAGGAAGAAAACTGGACTTCTAAGGGTGAATTATTCTCACTGTAATAGAAATGGTTTCCTTTCAGTTTTCTAGCCTAAAAAGAGTAAGGCAATATAGCGTAAAAGTATATAGGGTTTAATGTTTAATTCCCCCAATTCTGATAAAATGGCTTAGGTTTATAGATCACACTTCCTTTCTAATTTTCACTGGTGGAATACCTCTAGAAACTATTATTTTGCTTGGCTTCTTGATACCCTGAATAATTTGGGGTTTGATGAAAAAACACTAGTTGGATTTAGGGAAAGAGAAGTCAGAGGTTCTTGGGTAAAGAGGCAGAGTGGCTGGATTGATACAGAAGATTTAACTTTAATTTTTCCTCTTCATCCTGCTGTCATTCAAACTAAGCACAGATCAAATCAACTGTTAGGCTGACACGACTGCCAACCCTGCAGGGAGACTACTGAGTAAATCTAGGGAGCAGGAGGTAGGACAAAGTGGGAGTTTTGCCTAAGTGATCTCAGGGGAATAGGGAGCCAGGAAGTGGTATCAGAAGAGGCAA